ACACACTGTCCTTCCAGCCTCCAAGTGGCAGGAGGAGTCTGGGGATTTCCTCCTTGTTAAATCCAAACGGTCATTTCTCTTCTCCTCCCCATTTTTTCTATAATCACGCACTGAGACCCCGTTCCATCCTAGTGACACTTGAGTTTCTTACCAAAGCCTTCAGCAGGTCGGATGCTGGCTATAAAGAGAGGGTGCAAAGAAAAAAGGTACCCACATTTTAAGAAAGGAAAAAAATGTATTAAATGTATGATACTCAAGTCACATTTGACATCTGCAATTACAAGAGGTGTTCAGTGTGACTTACATTCATCTTTTGTTATTGGCATATATTGAGTATTATAAATTTAATGTAGTAATATAGTATTTTCCTTTCTTAAAATGTGTATATGTTACCTGCCACCCTTTGTATACGGAGTGTTCAGCCTCCTTTGCCTCCTCTGTATATGGAGTCATCGCCCCAGGCACTTTACATATGTTCCATTTACTATTCTAAGTGACCCCATGAGGCGGGCATACTGTCATGCTACCTTACAGGTGACAAAACTGGGGTGCAGAAAGGTTCAGTGACTTGCCCAAGATGACTCTATTAGGTGGCAGAGCCTGGATTCGAACCTGGGCAGTCTGATTTCAGAGCCCATGATCCAACCACCCTGTTGCAGAGTTTGCATGACCCTTCTGAGCTGTCTTTCTGTCTTCTCTACTCGTGACACTTAGCAGGTTCCAGGAGTCAATCACTGCCTCCCTCAGAGGGCTGGTGCTGTGATGTGGAGCAGCAGCCAGAGCCCCACTTACCAAGGCTGATCTTGCTGCTTCTGCTCCAAAGAGCCCATGTGCCAGCAACAGAGACCAACACGGAATCCCCACAACGGAGCCACCCCATGTCACTTCGCAGCAATTTATTTACACTGGACCCTTTCTGTTTTGGAAGGAGCAGTGGATTCAACTTGACCAAACTGGCAGTTATTCTGGGGATTGGTTTGTCTTTCCTGCCCACGAGATGTCAGCCACCACCATCACCCAAGGACTCACAGAGCGCTTGACCCACTGATACAGGATCCTGCATGACACTGCATGGGACCAAAAGGGGTGATACATAACAAAGCAGACACAGCAGTGAGTATGTGACCATAGATTCCACCAGGCCTGTCCAGTCCCATCCTACTCCGGAGCTTCTGGCCGGGAGGGCAATGGAACAGCCATTCGGAGGTGCCACGGAGGTGTCAGCTTGGAGAGGACGCCCTGTGACGACGGGACTGTCTTCCAGGGCGCAATACACATTTAAATCAATCCTCCCTCATTGTGGTGCTGTGCTCCCAGCAGCAAGAATGCAGGGTCTGGAAATCACGTAGTTGAAGTAGGAGCAGCTTTCATCGTCACTATCCCCAGGGACTCACTCGGGGTAATTGGTCCCTCATGTCAACTTCTTGTGGGTCTAGGGGTCCTGGCACTCACGAGGGGGAAAGCTTCCAATAGGGGA